TCACGCACGTCATGACACACGTGACAAGGTTTTGGAGCTATCGTGGTCACTACATCGGCATTATTGTTTCTTAAGATTGGTGCGTCATGACATGAATGAATGGCGAGCACGAATGACAGGTCATGACATCAATATGATGCCATGCATGTGATGACATGCAATGCAAGCTCTTGGAGCTCTCGTGGTAGGCTCATTAACTATATAGCAACATCGGCATGACATGGCGTGAGTGCCTGGCGAACATGAATGAGAAGCCATGACATAGCAGTACCATATAATGCGAGCCATGATTATCATCACATACTCAATGTATCTAATTGCGTGGCATGAATTTTCCTGCATTCGGCTTTGATTACCCATCGCAATCAAAAACTGATTGCGCCTTCATGATGTTTTTTTTTTCAGGTGCGAAGAACTTCAGAATCAAAGAATTGATGATTATACACCTATGAATTCGACACATGCATAACTAAAAAAAACTTTGACCATCTCCCCGAATGGAACCCTGATGGGATGTGAAGCAGCAGGGTTGCGCAGGGTGGCATCACGGGTTGAATGACGCTAACGCAGGTGCTGCGATGAACGCTGGAATATTCGTTCGACGCGATGGCTGGCGTAAGTCTTGTAGGTGCACACGTACAGACATGTTGCAGTGTTCTCTGCAGTTGAAAACATACGCTTATGGGCACCTCAGTAGCAGGGATGGGAATCAAAGTTGGTCAGTACCTGGGTAAAGTGAAGCTCCATGCTTCTTCCTGTATGTCAAGGCATCATAGTTTCTCGTCATTAGTGTTTAATTAAAGTATATTTGACCCAATATAAAGTCTGAGCTCCGTGTGTTGATTATTTGCGACGCTATAGCAGTTCGGCAGCCTCCGAGATTGTTCTCAGTCTTCTTTTCTCAAAACATGACGTGTGGAAATGACGTTTTCTAAAAATAAACATCTGCTCGCTTATAAGCCAAGGTATTGGTGAAAGTTAACGAAAGGCGCTAGCGTAAGCACGTTAGATTAGTTTTAGCCGCTCCGTCTTAAACACGTAACTCAATTGGTCTTCGTGTGTCTTAGATATTCATCCTGTCGTAGTATTCGAGACGTCGAATATAGCTATTCGAAAGATGAATATTCGCACAAACCTCTATCGCAAAGGGATAATTGCGCTGGTTCGATCTCCATCTCTTTTCTCCGTAAAATGCTGTGTAAATGGAAGCATTGGCTTTGAGCAGCGTACAACTATAGTGCCCCGCATATTTACAGACACTGTAATACAACAGCGCTTTCCGCGGACGATAAACCGAAACGCTGGTCGGGATGCAAGCACAGTGTGCTGGGGTTTATACAGAACTGATTTTTTTTCTTCTTTAGAGGGGTTAATAGGTAGGTAGCGGATTAAGGTGGTTGCGACCAGACGAGCGCTGGTGCAGCCAGAGAGAAGCTAAAACAGCCCCCCCCCCCCCCCGAATACAAATGTAATAAACGAGGCACACATACAAATGAGCTGAAAGAGTAGACAGATTTAGTTGGACGTCCGCATTAGCCGTACGGACGCAGCCTGCCAGCCATTCGCAATGGGAGGCTGTGTCCTTACGGCTGCTGCGGACGCGCAACTGAATCTGTCTGGTGTTCACACTCTATACTCAAATACACGCACGGAGCATATTGTCAGGAACATTCATTGTTTGATCTTCATGTAGTCCGCCGCAGTGCAGCAATGTGAAGGAGCTCGGTTCCTGAACGGAAGGTAGCGGGTTCGATACCGGACTCGGCGGTCACATTTAGATGGATGCGAAATGGTAGAGGCCCGTGTAAGTGCGATGTCGGTGCACATTAAAGAACCCCAGGAGGTCAAAATTTCCGGAGTCCTCCGCTACGGCGTCTTTCATAATCATACCGTTGGTGTAGGGATGTAGGGGCGCCGCTGGCTAGGATTATTGTCAAGGCACGAGGGAAAATCAAACTTTTCACTCCAAAGTACGAATCCTCAACCTCACTATTTAAAGGGGAAAAAATAAATCTAGTTTTTGATTCATTAAGTATTACGGCTTGGTGGCGCTAGCCACCGCCCGATCTAAAGGGTACAGCCATATCCATCCATTCATCCATCCATCCATCCATCCATCCATCCATCCATACATTCATCCATCCATACATTTTACCAGTGGGGGGAAGGGCGGTGGGGGGAGTTATTCACAATAAGTGAGTTCTTTCAGGGCAGAAGGAAGGCGGCGGGGTACTTAGCCATTGTGTTATGACTATGTTCCCTCTTGGAGGGGGGCAACGGGGGGGGGCAGCCTAAAATTGAATTAATTCTGAAGGTACCGACGGGGCAGTGGCGGCGGGATGGGGCAACAAATGTGAACATCTCTGGCGCGCGCGGTCGCGGTTTTCTGGCCGCTCAGGCGTTTTCGTTTTCTTTTCACTGCTCAAGTGTGAACGCGCCCGAAGTGTTATCTATGCTTGGCGCAGACCCCGCTGCTAAGCTTGGGATGCCTCGAGGTTGTTTGGGCTCATTCTACTGAAAGTTCACGCAGGACGTGTGTAGTCAAGTTCATTCGAGAACTTAAGCGAGGAGCAGTCATAAGGCTCGAATATTCGATGCCACATGTCTGATTTCCAACGCACCTCTTCGCAGATAAGGTAACACGACTACCGACGCCGTTCTCGCCGCTACCAGTGTACTGCTTGAATTGCTTGTACTTTGATCCTTTCATATTTTTAAGGGGGGGGGGGGGGGGTTCACACAAATAAAGAGTGTGCCACCAACTGCTGCCATCGTCAACGTCACGATCACATATATTCCAACCATGTAGACCCCGCTTCCACGCCTCCCGCGAGGGTGTCCGTAGATTTTTTACCAGAAACGAGCATCTCAAAAAAAAAAAAAAAAGAAAGAGAGGAGGATACAGGTAACCTCATTTCCGTGACATAATGCGTGGAACGTGCAAAGTTTACTAACAATCCTGAAGGCCATTTTACATGAATATGCGAGTCATGATCCCGGTACTAATCAAACTCTCTAGGTTATTGATACTGCATAGAAAAATAGTATCCAAAATTCTAAGCTGGAGGGGCAGCCGCCTGCTTACGGACGTTCACGTCCCCCCCCCCCCCCCCCAAAAAAAAAGAAAGCTGGCTACGTAACTGCAGACGATGTATGGTGTGTGTGGGTGCGTGCCTGTCCGTAAGATGGGAGGGGGAGGTGGTTCTCTTAGGCGTAGGGGTGGGCAGGGGCGCAGCAGAAATATTTTTTTCGAGCGGGGGGGGGGGGGGGCACCTTCTTGAACTGCTCATTTTTCGCTTTGTATAAAGGGGGAAAAATTAGGAGGGGGGGGGGGCGGGCTCGACGTGTGACCCTATGGCTACACCAGATACACCTCTGGGGAGAGGGGGTGTTAAGGGCTGTGCATACTATATATCTGACTCCACGCTTGTCATAGTCTCGCAAGAAACTGGCTAGCAATTTAATGATTTACTGACTCACAAACGTTATTGTGTGTTATCAAGCTTTGTCACAACAGTACTTACGTTACAGTAGCTTAACCTATTCACGTAACGCGTATAATATAGCCGACCCCGACTAAGCGGCTGTCAGTCAACCGTAAAATAATCGTTCGGTTATTTACACGAAGCTGGATTGTTTTCGACCTATAGTCCTTACCCTTGGCTCGAATTACATCTTACTGGCTCTGTACATGTTGCTGCAGCTGCAGATACGTTGAATAGTGCGCACTCGTGGCTTAACAAGAAAGTCAAGAAGGACGTCGGCCTTCCGCAAGCCCGCATTTCTTGCACAACTACAGTCGCTGGGGGAGGAAACAAAGAACAAAATTCATGAGACAAGCAACAACAAAACATGCAGCGCGCCGAGAGCATATGAGGCGACGACAACGAAAACGATCCGATCGCGCGCGGAGAGGGAAGGAGTTGCTCACTCTCTTCCTCCCTTGACGGTCCTGACTCATAGACCTCCGAGGCACCTCACGTGACGAGAGAGAAAGAGAGAGGACCTCGTCACGTGGTTCTGCCAATGAAAAGAAAGTGCTGTACTCGTCTCGGCAGATAAGAAGGGCCCAGCAGCAGCGGTCGCAGTCGGTGTTCTTGGGTTAGTTCACTTGGTTGTCAGGACTTCCTATCTGACAACGGCTCTCCACGCGTAAGTACCTCGTTTCTCTTCTTTGTCGCGTTCCAGTTCACCCTTGCAACGCCTCAAAACTGCTCTAGGACAAAGCATTGGCGAAGTTGGCGATGTCCCCAGTCTTTGTTGTTGAGAAAAGTACGCAGGCTTAATGATCTTAGCTGAGGAAGTCTTTCAAGTACGCCTTAAAGGGGTAACTGCAAAGCGAGTAAAAACAACTACCGAACAAATACACCATGTCCGTACGCAAGCCCATTGAAAAAGTCTGGGCGACCTTGTGATTCGCTTATGTCGTGTCGGCCTTGACAGCAACTCATTCGATCTCTTACAATATCGTTCTATGTGATGAACGTAAATGAACACTGCAGCTTCCTACTGCAAGTTTAAAAAATGTTTTCAGACTAACGCGGCAACAATTCGCGCGTTACGTCATCCGTCCGCACAGCTGTTTTTTTTTTTTTGTCACATGACGCTTCTCTTTGTTTCGCCATTCGCACACTCCGACTCGCGTAAAAAGCGCGGTATTTTGAAACTGTAGTGTAGGCGGGCTGTTGCAAATAATGTGAACCGTTGGTATTCCATGGATCGACAGGTTAGCGAAAAAATTTACTCCGAAACATGACGTTGCATGCAACATTTGTGTCGGCGCAGTGCTTGCCACTGTGTCAGTACATGTGATTACAATCTGCTTACTACCCTATGGCTGACGAGAAATTTATGACAGCCGGGCAACTAGCGCCGAATACGATTGGAGGCGGCTTTTTAAAATTAAAAATGCGCCTTGTGAGAGCGATACGTTTCAGATGCACGCGTTACTGCACCTGTCATAATCGCAAAACTCCATCAGTGCGTTTGCTATTTTCCAGGATTCCTAAAAAAATGCGGGGTTACATTATTCTGTGCTGCTTGTTCGTGACGGCTGCTGCACTTACGCATCAAGAACTCATTGGCGCTGAGTGGTCAGCATTCAAGGCATTACACGGTAAGGAAAGCCAAACTGTTTGCTGTAGGTTTAATTAAACAGGTGGTGGATTTTTTTTTCTAGTTCATACTAGTTAACTGATGGCGAAACAGTATTACATTCAAGGAGCAAAACATGTCTTTGAAGGATAGCAAATTTATTACACAGCGGAGCAAAGAAACCTGCATGAGATATGCACAGGCATGTTTTTCTGGAACAAAATTCACCTCTCATACAATACACACTGTCCTTATATGATTATTATAATCTAATAATAAGATACTTCTAATCTTATAATTATGTTGAAATGTTAGAGCAGGACAACGTGGTAGTGCTTTAGAGCTTCTCGGGCTTGAAGGCTTGAACTGGGCTGCGAGATAAAAGCGCGAACTTGAGACTGCCCGAGCTGCAGTTTATCTTATATTTCTGTGTGTTTGCACGTGGTGTAGGATTTCGTAGACTCCTAGCACTCAGTGTATGGGAAGCAGACCCTCTTACTCTGCGCCACTGAAGTTTGCACTTTTCGTTCAGTTTTGATTTAGGCCAGTTCATTGTATGGTTTTGACCAACTTCTCATTATTCCTATGGATACTTTATATAAAGTCAAAACAACACTTCTTGTATTGATTAAAAACGGTAACTTGAGATCATTCTTTCGTGAATCCCACAGTGGTCGAGTTAGGAGCTTCTTTAAATGTGTACTGCTTGCACTCACCAAAAGTACAAAACACAGTGTGTCAAATTTTACTCCTACTCCAAGACATCTGTGGCATCACGGACGACTCTTGCTAACAGTGGAGTAAACATTTCTAAATGCACATTGCCACAAAAAACAGTAAGTTCGGGCACTAGGTTGGCTTCAGAAAGCGATGCAGGGTTCGGACATTGTTTGGCATAGACAGCTACACAACGCTGTCCCAACTCTATACAGATCCTCATTTTGTTCTTTATTGAAGACAAAGACTATTGATAGCCAGTGTTAGCCTGGTTAGGCAAATGCTACATTAGTAATCTGCAATGCTGTGAGGGAGGCATAAGCTTGCCCGAGCTGTCATTTATCCTTACGTATTTTTATAAATGCTCATTCTGTAGAGTATTTTTCATAGTGTATCTTTTTTATTTACTTGGTGCAGCTTATCAATATTATTCGCTATCTACCACAGGTTTAGCAAATGCTTCCTTGAGAGAACTCATTGGATATGCAGCTTTTATGAAATTTTGCCGTGTTGCTTATAATAATTCTGGGGATTTTAAATCCCAAATCCACGATATAACTATGAGAGATGCCTTAGTGAAGGGCTCATGAAATTTCATCCAGCTGGGGTTCTTTAATGTGCACTTAAATCCAAGCACATGGGCCACTAGCATATCGCCTCCATTGACATGATACACACAAGTAATGGACTCCAGATTAGTTTACATAATCTGGCACACTTTAGCGCACACTTAAAACTACATAAACCTGAATCCAAAATAACGGTTTCGTGGTGTACTGTAATAAAAAGTGGCTACGATGTCTCGGTACTGAACACAGGAATTAAAGAACACTGTGGATTGTACAATAAAAAGAAAAAGAAAGTTCGAATTCAAATTGACGTAATTTTGCATGTGCATGCCACTATCGTGCGCAGGAAAGGACTATGAATCCGACACAGAAGAATACTACAGGCTGAAGATCTACATGGAGAACAGGCTGAAGATTGCACGACACAACGAGAAGTACGCCAAAAGCCAGGTCTCGTACAAGCTCGCGATGAACGAATTCGGAGACTTGGTAAGATTTTACTTGTATTTGGGTAGGGTCCTGCATAATCAGTGCTGCAGCCTGGGTCTAGTTGTGCAGCTATGCACAACTAGACGAAGCTGTTAGCTTTTGAAGCTAATAAAGTCCTTGAGCGAGCACCTTCGATCATAATTGAATTTCTCATAAGATCTTCCATTGGTGAAAACAATGTGTGCTGCTCTTTGCCAGGTCCTGGCGGTAGTTTTGATAAATGGCCTGTAGAAGTGTCGGGTCACACACTCTCAAAGAACAGTTGTACCTGGTTGGGGCTTATTAATGCCAAATAACAATGTAACCATCCTCCAACTCATTCACATTTCATTTCACCACAGCTCTGCACTTGCCATATTCTTGTAAAAGAGTGCTAATTCACACTGATACCGTGTATGCCATTCCTGTCTTGAAAGTAACAAGCTTATGATGTTAAAAGAGAGGAAAAGTATCCAAGATGGATGATGCTTAGTATCGTTACATGACACCAGTATGCGCTGAAAGGATCAAACATTTTTTTGTTGTTGTAATGTCTGGCCATCAATAACAGTGGGAGACTTTCGTTGCCCAAAAATGTTAATTTATGCAAAATTCACACTGCAAATTGTGAAAAACGCTCTAGACAAGCTACTGCAAGTCACTCTTGCATCTACCAAGCTTGAATTCTCAGCCTTCCTTCTCTTGGTCTCTTCTTTCTTGTTCTTCAGCTGCACCATGAATTCGTCAGCACACGCAACGGCTTCCAGCGCAACTACAGGGAATCTCCACGAGAGGGCAGCTTTTTCGTCGAGCCTGAGGGCTTTGAGGAGTTGCACCTGCCCAAGGCTGTTGACTGGAGGAAGAAAGGTGCTGTGACCCCTGTGAAGAACCAGGGACAGTGCGGCTCCTGCTGGGCCTTCAGCACTGTGAGTTTGCCCTCTTTGTTAGGCATGGCATAACTTCTTAGAGTATACAGTGCACTGTAACTTGCATAGAAGGTAACTTGATTGGCCGAACTACACCACATAAGAAATGCTGGTGCAGCTACATATAGAACATAATTGTCATCGTCTCTCAGGGGACTATGAAAAAAAGAATGCAGGGTCTTGAGAATGATCAGTTCCTATGCAAGCTTTTTCGTGTTGGAAATATTTTTAATGTGCAAAACTGTATGAAGACCACATGATAGAGTGCATGCCATAATAACTACGGTCCAAACCAGCAAGAAGAAAGTCTTATAAAAACTCCGGTTCCATGCCCAGCAGTAACTTGTCCAATCGAATCCCATTGCATGTCTTTTAAAATCACATGACAGCGAGATAACAAAATGAATTATACTCCACTCTTGTTCATGTTGACCAAGTTATTTATTTCTCATCATTCCGTGAGAATGGAAACTATGTATCCCGTGGCATTCTAAATTTCAGTCGCTGTTATGCACTACGTATACGGAAGCTCAACATTAAACAACGAGTAGTATTGTGGATTGGGGCCTTTATTCTGCTGTGGACATAGCATTGATGCTGTAACTTATTTTTTTGAACCAGACTGGAGCCCTAGAAGGGCAGCACTTCCGTAAGACGCGCAAGCTTGTGTCGCTCAGTGAGCAGAACCTGGTTGACTGCTCCAGAAGCTTCGGCAACAACGGCTGCGAGGGCGGCCTCATGGACAACGCTTTCAAGTACATCAAGGCCAACAAGGGCATTGACACAGAGGACACCTACCCTTACAATGGCACGGTAAGTGCGCAGTTATTGTGTTGGGAATGGGGGTCTAGGTGAAGAAAAAGCTGTTTTTTTTTTTTCTAAATGCTCTCGCCCAACTTGCCTGGTCCGACGCAACAGTTGCCAACCTACTTTCACGTGCTGCATAGATTTCCCTGAAAATGTTTTATAATTCTTCAAAATGAAGTAAAATTCTAAGGCATTACGTGTTAAGACCCCAGGATACGACTGAGGCAAGCCATAGCTGGAGACTGGAATAGTTTCATGCACTTGGGGGTACGTGGCAATGGGAATGTTAGTTTGGTAGAAATGTTCAACTTTGCAATTTATTTTCTTTTTCTGCAATCCTGAGACCATGTTTCACGTCATGGTAAAATCGGCCAAAGTAAGTAGTAGAAGTTAAGAAAAAGCATTTTACTTGTGGGCTGTTGTCAAAGGCTATGTCAAAATCTGCAGCTTTCCTTTGGCACAATGCCACCACATTGCTATCATCGTAAAGAGGACAGATCAGAGCTCAAGATAGCCACAAAGCTTCTTTTCTCTAATAAAAAATAAAGCCAGCTTCCTTCAGAGTTCTGTTTTCCTAGCTTCTAGCTCCAATTTCTTTGAGCTCCATTTTCTCAGCTTCCATTTTTTCAGCAGTTGCTGTCAGTCATCCTTGTGCCATTTTGCGACAGATGAAGATATAGCTTTTCTGTTTTCGCACTTAGATCGTGAGACATTGGTGAGTGTCGTAAAGTTGTCCAAATTTGTGTGCACATCACACAGATTTTTATAATTGGGTTTTTTGTAAATGTTGTTAGTGAGACAATATGCCTAGGACATTTCGAAAAATATTTGTGCGCTTACCTTAATATTAAGAAAACAAACCAATAACTTTACAACACAGAATCTACCCTTGTGAACATCCTACTAAAAACATTTGATGCACTTATGTCTTATTAATTAACTAATTTTGGGTTGATGATGAGAGCCTATCAAGTGTTGTAACTCAAAAACTATAGCTCAAATTGATTTTAGTTATTATATCAGCATAACAAATAGCATCTGCATGCAAAATTTCACCACTTTAGCTCCATAAATTTGCACACAAAATTTCATCACTTTAGCTCCATAAATAAAAATAGTTTTCATTGCCACATCCCCACTTAACATGAACCTAACAAAATAAATATGTGGGTGTTTATTGCATTTCAACCTCATTTACCGTAATTACTCGAATCTAACGTGCACCTTTTTTCCGGTTAAGCGAGTTCATAAATCGCATGCGCGTTAGAATCGAGCACGAACAAAAAAATTACGGCCAATCTATTTCCATCGGCAAATCTAAAATGGCCGCCCCCTACGTGCGTCGGCATGGCGCGTCGTCCATTTCTGGCTATGTGTTTCTCATGTGCGGCACTTCGTATGTGTGCTGAGGAGTTCGTCATCTAGTAGTGCATTAGCATCGACGCCGTGGAATGGCCGACTCCAAAAACTCGAGTGCACCACGATGCCGCTTTTAAAAGAAAAGTCATCGCGTGTGCAGAAACGGACGGAAATCGGGCCGCATCGCGGTCGTTCGGAGTTCCTGAAACGTGCGTGCGGGACCGGCGGAAACAAAAGCAGAAGATTTTCGACAGCAAAGCTTTACGCAAAGGCTTCAGTGGACCACAGCAGGGTCGGTTTCCGCAAATTAAAGAGCTGCTCGGCGAGTATGTGCTTTAGCAGCGAGCAGCACAGCGGCCCGTGACGGCAGAACTGCTCCAAGTGCGGGCTATGCAATTAGTCTTAGAAAAAGGTCTAATGCGGAGCCAGTTTAAAGCGAGCAGGTGCTGGCTAACTAACTTTATGAAGAGGAAAGGCTTTTCCCTCCGAAGGGGAACATGCATATGCGAAAAATTTTGCGGAGGAGTACGATGAAAAGCTTCACAGTTTTCAGAGGTTCGTCCTAAACTTGCGGCGCAACAACGACTACCTGCTTGGACAAATCGGGAATGCCGATCAGACGCCTCTTTACTTCGACATGCCTGGCACCACAACCGTCGAGAAGAAGGGGGCGAAGCAAGTTCGCGTGCTGACATCGGTCCACAGTAAAACTACAGTGACGGCAATGCTCTGTTACACGTCAGATGGGCACAAGCTTCGCCCGTACCTCATATTTAAATGGAAGACGCTCCCGAAAGTAGTGGTTTTTTGAGTGGTGTGATCATGCGGGCCAGCGAGAAAAAATGGGTGCGCGTTGCAATCGATGTCTTGCGTTTTTTTTTTTTTTTCGCGGTAGAAATCGGGTGCGCGTTACAATGGAGGGCGCGGTAGAATCGAGTAAATACGGTATATGTGGCCATCGTGGTGTGAAATTGAACTCATACATAGCAGGGCAACACCTTAACTGCTAAGCTGTCTATAAGAGGTTTTGCAAAGGGGCAGGACCCCTGAGACGGCGCTAGTCAGAACAGCTGCGCGCCCTTGTTCCGACCCGCCCGACCGGCCCGAAAAGCAATCACATGAACGGCGTGTTCATACAGAATTTTCGTAGACTGGTTTCAGCGACAACAGTAAACTGTGCCATTACATAACCTCTACATACAATACTAGTTCTGCAACGTGCAAACAAGGTTCCCTGAGGCCTGCTGTTTTAAGTGTAGTGAGAATTGGTTTAGCCATCTTCTTTTGCTACAACCAAGCTTCCAGTAGCTTTTCAGAGACTGCCTGCGAATGTTGAACCTCAAGAAGTTGCGCAATGTCAGTCAAAAAGCGCCGGTGGTCGCTGTGTCATGCAAATGACAACATTAAAACATGAAGTAGCATTGGAATAAAAGTATAATATGGGCAACAACTGTGCTACCTTAGCTTTTCTCAACTCCTTTGCTTCAATCGGGTGAATATATCTTTCCTTTTACGACACTCATTTCGAAGCATGATCATACAGTTCTCTCATGCCCCTATGACACGCCAACGTGTTGCAGTCTGGATTGAATGCGAGTACACGGCCGCTGTTGATCGATCATCTATGCACACAGCTTCATAGCTGTTGTAATCGTGTGGGTGAATGCCACCTCAAATTTCAACCTTATTTTTGTAACAAACTTTTTCTGGGCCACAACGGTTATGCGTGGAGAAACCTAACCGCATTTTAACCGTGGACGCTGCAGTGTCATGTATGCTGTCACGCACACAACCTTTTGTTGCCACTCACTTTCTAAAGGAGCTCACTACCATGGACTACAGGCATGGCAGCAAATGCCGCTTGTGCCCCGAGCGGGTTACATCAAGTGCGACCCCCCCAAGTCAGGCAGAACAAAATCGTATAGGTGAAGTAAATCCACTTCCTCAAATGCATTCAACCCCCAGGGAAGGGACCGAATGTGTCCTGAAACTTGGGGACCATCTTGCATAGTGACAGCATCCAGAAAAAATGATAAATCTACTTGAGAGTGTTACGACGCAAAACCATTAGTGTCAAGGACTAGGTGCAGAGGGTAGAGCTGGGGACAACAGCAGACAGTCATAGATGGTGTGTAGAGGGCAAAAAAATTTGGAACAAAGAGTAGTGACAGCGAGTAGAAGGGGTAATGAAAAGTATGGGTGGGACAGCCTGATGATGGTTATGGCATCAGTGTTAATCTTGGATGCAATGAAGTGCTTAAGTATTAAGCACTCTTGTAGCAAAGCAGTTTCACCAGATATGTAGCAAACTGTTTTTTGGGAGTTGACATTAAAAGGGCGTGAGAACTTACAAGACGTCAGTGATGTGTTTTTTTTCCTCTGCAAATTATTTTGTGCAGGATGGTGTCTGTCACTTCAACAAAAGTGATGTGGGTGCCACCGACTCTGGCTTTGTGGACATCCCAGAAGGGGATGAGAACAAGCTGAAGAAGGCCGTGGCCATGGTTGGACCCGTCTCAGTTGCCATCGATGCCAGCCACGAGTCATTCCAGTTCTACTCCGAAGGTGAGATCTTTTTCTTACACTCTTTCAAGGCCTCTGTCAGTGGTTACTGACTCTTTCAAGGCCTCTGTCAGTGGTTACTGAAGGGCTGCTAGAGCGGAGAAAAGGATTCACTTTTATCCTCTGCGTTAAAGACATAAAATAGTCAACTGTACTAACAATTTGAGCAGAAACAGACTAGTGGTGGGAATTGTAGTACAGTGGAACTTCGATTATACGACTTTCAGGGGACCAGGCAATATCATCATATATTCTGGGCGTCGTATAATCGAAAAACCAAGAATATAGGCACTGATGGTCGTTGTTGCCCCACAACAGTTGTCACATAATGCGTAAGAAAGTCCGCAGCACAAATCTATGCTGCTTCGATGAAGGTAGATTAAATTACTTTAAAAAATGACAACCATGCATTTTATCGGAAGTGTGAACAAATCTTTATTCTCACCTTTTAAAAAAAATCTGATTTTTTTCTGCGAGTTTGCCCAGCCACGATGCATCAGCTTTCTTTTGAGAGCTGCGACATCTGGCAGCAAGTCGCCGATCTCGTCGCGTGCGCAAGCAAACCGCCGAATGTTGTCGACGTAGCACAACACGTCCGCGTACGTCGGAACGGACGCACTAGCCTTTGCAGTGTCAACCATCCCTTCCTCGTCGGAAGTTCCCACAGTGTCAGGACGCACAGTTTCGATAATGTCACCCAGCGATATTGCACTGCACACTGCAACGTCGTCGTCGGCACCAACTTAGTCTGGGAAGGATCCAGGCAGCTCCAGGTTGCCGAACTCTGGTAGCGGAACTAGCTGCTGTCCAGCTCCAGGTTGCCGAACTCTGGTAGCGGAACTAGCTGCTGTCTAGCCCTCTGGTAGCTAGACAGCAGCTAGTTCTGGTTCCCGCGGCTGTCCCAAACGTAGACAGGCTCAACAACCGCCGTTCAACACGTCCGGTACAACGACGCGAAATCTAGTGCAAGTTATCACATACTAGAAAGCGAGCTCGAAATTATCTGCCTTGTTACCTTCTCACACCTGTCACTACAAAACCACCCAAAAAAAAAAGGCAGAAAACAAAACAAAAAGGCACCAACGAAAGTGCGCAGTGCAGTGCGACTAAGCAAAACGAATGCGCTCCGGCTGGCTCTGGACAATGTTGGCTCTGGCTAGATATGGCCGACAGCGTGTCGAAAAATTGAAGAGGCCCTGTGGTGGCAGCGCGGATGGTGTGCTAGAACGTGCGGAGGAACGAACTCGGTTTCCCGACTTTTTTATCCGGCCGCAGTGTGCTTGCGTGGCAGCCTGCATGCGTCATCGTAGGTTTTTTTTTTTCTCGGACAGTCCAGCTAATCGTCGTACAAGGCGGGGCCGGCGTAAAATTGCATCGTAGAAATGAGGTTTTCAATACATTAGTTCTATGGGCGTTTTGCCGGGTCCAAGCCAATTCGTCGTAAAACGCGTGTCGTCGCAGGACCGGGGGATGTATAATCGAAATTCCACTGTACGTAAGAGCTTGTTAACTCAATGGGAACTATAAAATTGCTCGGATTAAACGAAGATTGAATTAGTAGATGGGCACTAGAATGAACGGAGATTGCGTGAAATTCCACAGGTAGAACCCAAAGAAACCACCTCTGGACTATATGTTTGTGGCTGGTGATTTTGTAAATTAGGTTCTTGGAGCTCTTCACAGCAAACGAACTAATCAGTTAGCCAGTGATATGCCAGAATCAAGCACTGACAAGCTTTCATGTCAATGCTGAGCTTTTATATAGTATTGTAGTGACATATTAATTATCAGACATTCTGCGCTCGGAAGACTACAAAGAAGAGGGCTGATCTGTCTGCTGTCTGTGCTGTTCTTCACCTTGATTGATATGTGGGGTTTAATGTCCCAAAACCACTATACGATTATGAGAGACGCCGTAGTGGAGGGCTCCGGAAATTTAGACCACCTGGGGTTCTTTAACGTGCACCCAAATCTGAGCACACGGGCCTACAACATTTCCGCCTCCATCGGAAATGCAGCCGCCGCAGCTGGGATTCGAACCCGCGCCCTGCGGGTCAGCAGCCGAGTACCTTAGCCACTAGACCACCGCGGCGGGGCCTGTCCTTCACCTTGGTTAAGCACACGCTATACGCATCAGCGTAAATACAACTTGTAAATAGCCACGCTTCGTGTCATTTTACGTAACATGATGTTGTTTATGCTACAGGACGCATTTGTTTACATAGCAGAGTTAAAGGAATCAAAAGTTCAAGTAATAAGTAATTTGCATTTGCTTGTATTTCTTCTGTCACAAAACCGTGAGTGTCGTGTGTAGCTTGCTGAAGAACTCCCACTCAGCATTAAAATGCTCATTTACTGATAAATGCTGCTGTTTTGTTGTTTTGCATCTCTAGCAAGATTGAAAATGTGTATTTACTTAACATTGGCTGGGCAAGCTTGTCAGTGTATTGTTGCATTTGTGAGCCAACAATGCACACATGCATTCTTGTGCTTTCTGGACAGATAACAAGCACAGCCGGTGTGTGGAGCAAGCTATGTACCGTATTTATTCGCGTAATCCTCGCACTCGCATAATTCTCGCACCCCCCACATTGCCCAAGAAAAAATACGATTTTTTTTTTTCCTCGAGTAATTATCGCACCCCCGAAAACTGCCGCAATAATGTCGTGTGCTCGTTCCAGCCGTTGATGATGATAGCGCACACAATCTGGCGCCATCTCTTAAGCATCAAGCGTACTATTGCACAGAGATCCAAGTCAAGCCAAGCCGAAGTGGCCAGTGCGCGTTGCGGCGTGTTTTGTGTGTTGTGTCGATAATCTTGGCACATTATGGGGCGATAGTGAAGCCACACGGCTGCTTCAAGTTGCAAGTGATAGATCATGCGCTAAACAACGGCAACAGGGCCGCCGGTAGGCCCTTCAGAGCTTACGAGTTTTGTGTTCGCTACTGGTGACGGCAGCTGAAAGCCACAAGACGCGTTGGGCCTGCCGTGTGCCTAAAACTGGGATTGATGGTAAACTTTATTTTTTTCAGAAGGGAACTGCAGACAATTCTGTTAAATAGAGACGATTCTGTTAAATAGCCATCAGCCCAATACTGACGTCATACGCTTACTTTTTGAGGGCTCCTGTTGAGCGCTGACCGCTACCGCTACGCCCGCAACTCCAAGCTTCGCGTATGGTATTCTAATTCTCGACTACAGTCGACTCCCGTTAATACGAAGTTCACGGGAACCGCAAAAAACTTCGAATTAAACGAACTTCGAATTATGCAAAAAGCACTAAAAACGGCACTTTTATTAGTTTAAAAGCGCGACAGTTTTGAGGAAAAATAGTCTGTCATCTTCTTCTGCTTGCCGAATCTGGCTGTGGCTAGCAAGTTTTGTAAGGAATATACGTGTCGAAGTGCTTCTTCGGCGTTGTGTTCTCCAACAAAAAACCGCTGCGCAAGAGTAAGACCCGCAGCTACATCGGCAGCCCTCGGTGGTGGCTCATTTTCGATGTCGTCGTCATCATTGTCATTTTCAGGAATGCAGTCATGGGGCCGAACCATCTGCACGATTTCGCTGTCCGTTAGTGGACCGCATGTTTAGACGTTGCTGTCCACAGCGACATACTCGTCAAAACGGACGTCACCGAGAGCGGCGCGAAAGCTACCGTCGTCGAGCTCGTTTGTTTGCACTTCCACTGGCGCACAAGGAGAAGCATCCTTCGAGTTTTCCATGAAACCACAGGCTCGGAAACAATTGGCGATGGTTTCTTCTTTCACGCGGGTCCAGGCTCGCGCTAGCATGTTGATGGCACTAAACAAACTCACCTCGTATTGCGACGAGTTGTCCATGCACAAAAGCATGCGCTCGACGAGGTGCTGCCTATACAATACCTTCACATTTTCTATTATGCCCTGGTCCATGGGCTGCAACACGGACGTCGTGTTTGCAGGCAGGTACACAAGACGGATGGCACTCAAGGCAGGTACGTTCATGTGGGCACTACATTGGTCCACAAGGAACAACACCTTATGGCTTGATTGCGCGAACTTGCGGTCGAGTTTGGTGATCCAGTCCTTAAATATATCGGATGTCATCCACGCCTTTCTGTTCGAGGCATAATCCACAGGAAGCGTCTTCACGCCTTTAAAGCACCTAGGCTTGGCAGCCTTCCCGATCACAAGCAGGCGACACCGTTCTGTGCCAGTCATGTTCGCCGCGACTAGCACTGACACTCTCTCTTTGCTTCTTTTGCCTCCAGAACAGTCGTCGTCTTTAAATGTCAGGGTCTTGTCCGGTAGCAGCCGATAAAAAAGCGCAGTTTCGTCTGCATTAAAAATGTCTGCCGACTGGTATTCTTCGAGGTATTCGCGAAGCTTGCCCGCTTTCCATGTCGGGCACGTTTCCTCATCGACTGACGCCTTCTCCCCACACACGCTTTTAAAAATCAAGTCGTGGCGATGTTTGAAATGCGTAAGCCCCCCATCCGAAGCAGCGAAGTCGTTGATGCCCAACATTTCAGCAAGCGATGACGCTTTTGCCGTGACGACTTCACCACTGAGAGGAAGTTTGTTGTTTCGTGCCTCTCTGATCCAAATCAGCAGTGCTTCCTCCAACTCGGGGTAGGCGCGGGTGTGCATCCGCTTCCGCGATGTCTTGAATTTTTCACTTTCAAACGCATCCAATATTGAGCGCTTATTCCTTATGAAAGTCGACAGCGTGTTAGGCTTAATGCCGCACTTTCTTGCAATGTCTTGTTTGGCCGTGCCTCCCTGGTCAACTTCCTTCAAGACTTCGACTTTCGTCGCTAGGTCTAGCGTTCGGTAAGGGCCACGAGTTGCCATTATCAAACGTACGTCACCACCACAACACTCAAAATCAGAAGCGCGGAAACACGTGTGGAATCAACCCAGCGTGCGGGTGACGCGGTGACACACTCGAGTCTCGACAAAAGTCAACTAAAGAGTCAGTCGATGCCGCCGATGCGATTCGCCAGCGTTAAAAAGATTGCCGC